CCGAGTGTATTTCTGACATGAAATGAAGCTCCTCAAAAAAACCCAACAGCCATTCAGAGGCGGCTTAGTATAAACTCTAGGTCCCTCCATTTTATTGGAAAAACATCAAGACTCAAAACCACAAATTGGAGAAGGAGCTCGGTCGAAAATCGCTTCAGCGGTTACCATTCTATCCATTAATACTGCTTGCCCCAAATCATTTTTATAACTTAATTGCAAACCCTTTTCTTCATAAGATGACTGAACTCTTGGCCATAAGATTGAATTATATGCGTTTTATTTCTTCTTGAAGACAACAGTCTAAAAAAAAACCCTCCTAAAATGTGCGTATGTACTTCTATTACAAAGATAACACGACTGGGTGAAAGTTGTACATATTTTCGCTAAAATTTTACTTGGCTTATTTAAAATTCTAGTGACATCTTGTTTTTATACCGTTTTCTATCTACCATTCTATCCATTAATACGCACACACACACGCACGCGCACCTGCATATTTCTCAATCCGTACACTTCATTTATTGCACACGTAATTTTATTATATTCACCTGAATTTAATTTCAAAATATCATCTCCAAGTAAAACTTTACTGCGTAAACGCGTGCGACTTCATTTCTCATTAACCCTCTACGCGTACATACTCCTGCATGTATTATATACACGCATATATGGTACAAATATATACATACATGTACGTATGTACTACTTGACGACGTTTAGCGTTGTGTCAATAGCTCGAAGAGGACTGCTAACCCGCTGGAGCTGGGAGAATACTTAACTGTTAAACTTTTCGCGCAAATGTCTATTTGCATACCAATACGACACGTCACCTGACAACGCCTTCGAACCGCGCACACCTTCGCACAAAAAAACGATACACTCTTATGTACAAGTGTGCAAGTATTTGCGCTTTTCCACACTGAGTAGCAGCAACTACTTAAGCTGCCAGAGCCAAGACCCCTATGGCAATGGTAATCTGCGCCCCTATCACTAATTGCTGCGACAGTAGCTCTTGCTCTTGCCAAGCGTGCGGCGAGATACGCGAAAAACTTTGCTTTGCACTGCGAAAAGTGCAATAAAAAGGTGTAAATTAATTGCAAGAAAAAAAAACACTTTAAGTTGACTATCTTTTAAGTAGATTTTTTGTTTTTGTATTTTTTTTTTTTGCTGCTCTCGCATTTAAGTTGTTGATGCGCTCAACATGTGACGGCGAAAGTGTTGTTACTATGTAAGAGAAACTGCATAATCAAACTTTATACAGTTATATATACGTAAGTATTTATATAGGTAGCCTGTATTGTTGTTACTACAAATTATATGCTGCAAAATTGCTGCTCACTTTGACATGCATTTTTCTTCTTTTTTTCTTTTTCTTTTTTTCTCCTTAAGTGTTTTCCACTATTTACAAGCACACTCGTACATATGAGTATGTGTGTGCGCATGTTGTTTTCTTATTTTCGTTCCATTTGAAATTGTTTAATTAGCTTAAGAATTCTTCTTGACATTCCGTGTGTCGTTTAAATAAATTAGCCACGTGTCTGCATGCCAAGTTATCTAAAAATGGCAATACATACATAGATAGATACACGCATGCACGTTTGTATGTAGTAGTTATGCATGACATTTTTTCTATATTCTTTTGCATAAGTTTATTAGACATTCTATTGAGTGCATTAAATTCGGTTTAACGTTACGTGCAGCATGTTTTTCGTATTTGTATGTGTATGTAGTAAAAATTGGAGTTTTTTATGTCAAATAAAATTTTTCAAAGTAAAAACGGCAGTTAAATAATTCATAAATATGTTGTTAGTAGAAAAATATTAAACAAATATATTTTATTTATATAATAAGCGTATGAAAATACTTTGGATTTCTTCATTGGTATTGAAAATAAATTGATATAAATATTTAAGTAGTCTATGTCATAAAAATTGCTAATATATGTACAGCTAAATTAAGCCGAATATGCGTAGATATGCAATTAATAATCGCATTAATTTCGTTCAGTATTGAAAAAAAAGGCAACTGAAATAATTGCTGCCGTAAAAGACCTCTATTAATTTTATTCAATTGCCCACCGTTGCGTAGAGCGCTAACTAAATCCATAAATCGCTAAAATATTGCTCAAATAAAAAGCAACGCCAATTGCCGAGTGGTTAGCATTCTTAATGCCAGGGTTCGAGTCCTAGTTAGACCAACTTACAAAATTTATTTTATAATAATATTTTTGCGATCGCCCATCGGCAAGGAAGGTCAACGCCCCTGAGTGTATTTTTACCACGGAGACGGCTAAGAATCAATTGCTCCCCTACACCAATACACTTTATTCAAACCTGAAGTGGCGGTAATTGGACCATCTGAAGGAAGCAATAGTCATCAGAACAACCACACACATCGATAGTGAGTCGTCAGAATCTCGTCCACGGAAAATTTGCTTTTAAAAATTATGATAAAAAAAAAAATATTTTATAATGATTTTCATTGAAGGAAACAACTTCATGCATATAGCTGCCGCGGCTGAACTTGCATTAGCCCATTCTTTTCTGTCTGTGAATGTAACTATCCAACACATTTTCCATTGTGTGGCCCTCTATGGCTGCAACGGCACTTAAATTTAGTGTTTGAAATCATGTCTCCTTTCCGAATGGTTGCCGCAGTATTTCCGTCTTTTCCGAAAAAATTGTCTAGTGGAGTCAAATGGCAGCTAATAACGCAATTTCCAAAACCAGTGCCACAATTGCCCATGTCATTATCTTCAACATTTGGATACAAATTATCTTTATACTTGACACGGTAATATTTGGTATCGACAGTAATGGCAGTTCTTTCTTCGGATCAATGACTTTGCCGTTTATATCCGAGTATCAAACATATACGCTCTACAAGACTCTTCTCCATAATGCAGGCGATACGAGATCAAATATACAGTTATTCCCTTTTCGAACTTCACTAACGCACGTCGTGAAAACTCTGTGTGGGTAACCCTTTTTATCTTCATTAATATATATATATATATATATAATATATATAATTGGCGCTTTGTAATCGCTGAGGTCGTGCTCCTCTTGAAGTCTTTCCAATAAATGGTGGGGCCTACAGTTTACACTAGGCCGCCTCCGAACGGCTGAATTCTTTTTTACGAGGAGCCTTTATTTGAAGGCCGAAATACACTCGGAGGGGTAGATAGCGCAATTAGAAAATTTAGCTCAATTTGGTATTTAAATTATTTTTCTATAACTTTTTGGATGAATTTGAAGCCGAATTTTCCGAATGGCAGTACGCAATGCTAACCACTCGGCTACCGCGGCCACCGACGTCTTAACTTTCCATATTGAAAATGGTCCGTAGAGTTAAAACACATTCGAAAAAAAGCAGTACCGATTTTGAGAACAAAATGCCTAGCAAAAACAACATCATTCTAAACAACTGACCTGCCATCGTGTGTATATCAGACATGAAATAAAAGCTCCTCTTAAAGACAAATCCATTTTTTGGAAAAATCCGAAGACTCACAATACAAATTAGCGGAGGCTGCTATGAAACACCATCAATCTTGTGGTCGGTCCACTTTCCGAAAAGATGTTAAGCGAGGTGTAATTTCATGGAATAACTTCTGGGTAAAATTTCAAACAAATCGAGTTAAAAATAGGATTTGTAAAGTTGTTCCCACCTCCAGTTCCGGCAAAGAAATATATTTGTAAAGCGAATAAGGAATAGCTTTGAATTGGAGGTGATGCAACTTCTTAAATTTTTTTTTTTTCGTAATCAACGTACCAAAACCTAACAAAAGCAAGCAGCAATACTGAAAAGGTAAAGCCACTACGGATCGTGTTATTATTTTCACAACTTCAGCGATGAACATACTTTAGTAATTGAAAATTTGAACAGCAAAATACGTATTTGGTAAATTTAAAAAAAAAATTTCTTTAGATTAGTTATACATATATGTATGTACGTACATTTAGTTATACATATCTGCTTATCGTATTATCTGTGTAGATAGTAGCACAAAATATCTATATATTTATATTAATACCATACTTATATGTATGTATGTTATATGAAAGTAATTCGTAGCGTAGAACACATTTCCTCTCCCCAGTCATGACAAAAGTACTCGTCAATTTTATTTCGTAATTTTCGTAATACGTATCTTTTTTCCGCTTATTCCTAAGAAGATACTCAGAAAAATGTGCAAAATAGTAAATGGTAGTTTATTGACTTTACGGTAATGAATATTTCGACTCCTCTTCAACACATACTCGTACATACATACAACCGTAGAATTTGAAATAAAAACAAACCAGCAACACTAAATACGTAGTTAGTAGTATAACGATTTTGTAGAAGGTAATATGGTGTTCTCACTCTGCAACAAAAACCAACCACAGTCATGCACTTTTTTTTAGTAAATTCATTGAAAAAAAAAAAATTTTAAATCAACATATGTATATTTTTAATGTCATACGTATGTTTTTTCATTTCATTTTTTTCTCTTTTCTTTTATAAGTAAATATGTAAATTATGATTTAGTATTTGCTTTGCTTCACATTTCAATCGCTTTTAATTGTGTTGTTTTTTAGTCTCTTTTGGCTTCACAATAATTATTAAATAATTAATAATTATATTACTACAACTATTTGCAACAGCAATAACTACTTACTACTATTTTATAACAATAACTAAAACTACAGCAACGCGACATACATACATAAATGAGCAAACAAACAATACAAAAATCACTCGAAAAATTTATTATTCACATTAAAAAGTATGCTAATTTTTTTTGGAAAATTTCCTACAAAATATAATGTATTTTTCTACAGTGTTATTGTCCCTTATTACTTCTTATCCTTTTTACAACAAAAAAAAAAAAAACAAAAAAAAACTCCAAACTATTATTCCTATAAAAAAATTTTAATTCTCACTTAAAACGTTAATCAAATCAATTATCATTTTTTTTTTTTCAAAAAAAAAAAAACAATAAATAAACAACAAATTCCTTTCATGCACACGCCTACAAAACTTTTTTCGTACCGGAAAATATTATTGTTGTTGTACGTGTCGGCATGCAGAGTGTGCCGGTGCTGCGCACATTTGGCAACCATCATGGTGCGTAGCGCGAACTGGCAACCCTGTCCAGCACCTGCACCACCACAACCACTCTATCCAAAAACAACAGCCACACCAGTCACCACACTACCACCACAACCACCACCACATCGACTACCAACAACAACAAGAGCAGCAGCAATCAGTATAACGCCACAGCAGCAACAGCGACATCTCTACCAGCCACATTGAACATTTTACGCTCCAATACCCCACCGTTGCCGCCACTGCCCACATCATTCGTAGCGATTAAATGCGGCCGCAATAACGAACCCACCACGAAAATCAACAATCACACTGGTCATCATAAGTTCAATAACACAGATAGACCTGCACCCTTGCCACACCCACTTACACTTGAATCGCCAAACAATAATACCACAACCACAACCACCACCATACCCAGCAGCACACTGAGCTATATGACACATCACGGCCATCATTCCACCATTTTACCAACGTCCGCCACGGCAAACGCATGCACATCATCGCTGTCCACCTTTCAACCGGTGCAACCGCCACCACCACCGCATCACTTCAATTCGCTAGACTATCGCGAACGCAACCAAACACATTATAAACACGGTCAGGGCCATCAGCAGCAACACCGAGAGCCAACACAAGCGCGCACCAGCACATTAGATCGTCGGAGCGCTGGTGCCACAACAGCATCGACGAACGCAGCTTGCATTGGTGACTACAATCAAATTAGTCCGCACTATTTGCAGACCTTCGATAGTCTCGATCCCTACGGTGTAGCCAACTTGCATTTATATCGCAGTCAGTCGAAATCGCAAATTTATGGTCGTGGCAGTGCCAGCGGTAGTGGTAGTGGCAGTAATGATGGCTCCACACACGACGCGGTACTCTATCACAGCAATAGCACTTTGAATCACTACCAACAACAACAACAACAGCAACAAGCTAGCGAGTACCAACATTATCAGGCTGGCGGTGGCCAGCAGCGCGGTCCAAATCAGGCGCAACAGCATCATCACAGCTTAAAGCACAGCAAGAGTAGTGGCAGTAAGTCGCATAAGAATAAGACAAGCGCACATCAGCAGCAACAAAATTTTTTACAACAACAACAGCAGCAGCAGCAACAAAAGCCAACAAAGTCACGCAGCAGTCGCTCACTGCCACAACAGTCGCAGTCGCAACATCGAGCGTCCGCCGTCGAAAAAGCAAGCAAAATGCTAGTTGACGGCAGCGGCGGCGCCAAGGAATGCAGGCACAATAGCAAGAATAGCAACAAAATAAGTAATATAAGCAAAGCAAATTCGATGACCAGTCAATATTCGAGCTCCAGCGAGAGCGTTCAGTGCGATAATAATTACTATTAGAGCCTAGCTCCCATAACACATAGTACATATGCACATACATACGCTCAAGAACCTCGCAATGTCTCCCAAATGTATACTACACTCATATACTTGGGTACAAGTTTCATGCTTTCTTCTTGTCAAACACACACACACATACACTCACACATGCACATAGAAATGCAAATGCAAGTGCAACGAAATATTTAGTGAATCCAGGCACATACGTCTACATACATACATATTTGCATACTGCGATTATGGGTCAACAGTGCCACCACCACCACAGTGCCATTTATGTACTGCACATCACCGACACCGAGAACACATCCTGTAACTGTATCATTTTCATATACATACCATACGTATTCATTGGGCACATACTCGTACACACCTACATTTGCATACATTCTTATTTGCACAAACAAACTAACAACACAATCATATGAAGCTGGGCTATTCTCCTTGCGGTGTCACATTGAGTTTATTTGATTTTGAAATGTAAGTAGTTTTCTACAGAAAAATGTGTACTTTGTTATTTGTTTCATATTTTTAATGGCATTTTGCGACACTGTAAATGTTCCAGGTACATATACTCGTATAGGTGTGTAACAAGATTTTTGCTGTTTTCTCAGATTTGTTGCCTTTTTATGTTTTGTTATCAATGTTACTTCGTAAGACCCGCGGTATGTTTGTATATTCGTTAACTGTAAGTAATATAGAGCAAAAACGTTAAGTCTCTGGAGAAATAGCATGAAGGGTGTTTTTTTTAGACTGCAGATTTTAAGAAGAAATGGTTAGTTGGTTGATTAGCTGAAGTGAATGCCGGGCATCAGCTCACCTAGGGTACAAGCGGGCTCATTGTTATACCACTGAAGATCCCAATTACAGCCCCCTGCTAATTGCACCAATGCATTGAGTTTGCAAAGCTGAGCAGAGACTTCAACCTAATCCTCCAAAGTGAATTAAAGTTTCAGGTGCTTCTCCTGTCTGCAACTTTTGCAGAAATAATTAAGCGCTACGCCCAAACTCTTTGCGTGCCTCCCCAATATGTCCTGTAAGAAGACTTATAACTGTAGACATCTCCTTTCTTTTCAGCTCGTTAAGGTCGCGTGACCTTCTTTTGTTACATTCTGGACATATTGTATTGACCACATTACATGCGTTGAGGCTTCTTCAAGAAGAAGAAAAAATGTATGCAATTTGATGTTATGGCCAAGATTTCGGCATATTTTAAAGATAAGGGTTTGCCATTATGTTTTAAAAATTCCGGCCGATAAGCCAAACTTTCCGATCACCTTCTACAGCATATTCTCTTCCAAGGCGTTAATTACCTCAGGCTTATCAGCATAGGCAAGTGACTTCATAACTCTTCATAGTCCAACGATGTTAAATCACACGATCTTGGAGACTGCGCCACAGGCGCATGACGCGAAATAATGTGCTCACCAAAAACAAAAGAAAAAGTCAACTACTCATGGCTCTATAGCATTCCCTGACGGCAATACTGACCATTTATTTCCACTATCCATCGAGCGCATTGAGCAATGAGTTTTTGAAGATGTAACGGCGTCTCAGCAGTGTTCCAAATGCGACCATTTTGTATATGAACTTGCCCAATTCAACCTAAGGTGGTCTTCATCGCTGAATGAAATTTTCTGTTAAAATCGGGATCGGTGGCCATTTCATTTTGGGCCCACTCACCGTATGTGCGACACGCTTCATTCTTGCATGAGTTGGATTTTGGAAGCCCAAAAATCAAGAGTTTCCCACAATATCTTCCATAAAGTGGAGAGGCACAGCTCGAATTGATTGCACACATACAGATCTTTTTTGATGCTATGCCACACAGCAGCAATAGCGTGTTCGGTGCGCACTGTACGGTGCGGAATCGGTATGCGAAACAGATCCATGGTTGCTCGAATTTTAAACTCTCTTGGGCTTACAAACATTGTTCCGGCGTAAGTCTGCCGATTAGGAAAGTGCAAACCAAACTGAGTATAAATCAAGTAACAGCTATAACAAAGCCCAAAGGGATTGCTTCATTGAAATCCACACATCTGAAAAAAACACCCTCTCTAATAACACTGCGCGATAAATTTAGAACAACTCGAATTTTGGTTAAATTAAGTTTTCCATTAATAATAAAACTTGCGAGATATTTTCTGTTCTCAATTTATTAATTACATGCACATTCCTAAGTATCTGTATATTTTTACTAAAACTCCCTGAAAGCTCAAGCACAAAACACAAAACCATCAAGCCACCCAAAAACGAACAGGCTTTACTTTTTATTATTATTTATTTTCATCCAAAAGCTCTTTGGAAACTTGATTGGAAATTCGAAAGCTAAAAAAATGCCTTAGAAAAGCTTTATCGTGCTTTCAAAAGCTCAAATAATTGTTGTACTCTTTCATATTATATACTTCCACAGTTCTTTTTAATGCAAGTTTAGTCACAAAAGATTTAGCCGACTGCCAGATATCTAAATAATTTTCTCAGCAGATTTCAAAAAATTAGTTTAGCTGTCATATATACTTAAGCTATTAGTAGGGTTTCTTTTAATGTCATTTATAAAAAGTAAAAAGACACAAATAAATTCATTTTTAGAAAGCCCAAATTGTTAGTAATTATAGAGTTTATTGTTGAGAAATTTTATTTAAAAAAAAGTTTATAGAGTTTATTGTTGAGAAATTTTATTTAAAAAAAAGTATTTTTAGTTAACACAGTTAAAAGTAACAGTTAGCACTGAAGACTGGAATTCGCAAAACATTTCTTAATTAATAGCAAAATATGATCACTATTTATTTTCTTAAGTTCATTACTTGGTAGCATTCCACGCTCAGTGTCGGATGTGTCCTTCTAATAAATAATTTATTAAGATTTATATTTTCAATATTTAAGAATCTCCTTTAGAAACTGTGTATATCAAAAGTCTATGCCACCAACCTTGCACAGAAGCGCGCAATCAGTTGGGTCGATTTTATCGAAAAATCATCACTTGCAACTTAAGGTCACATCAGACTTAACAATTGTTATTTGTTTCACGCATTTTACTATCAAAAAAAGTTGAATTTCAACGTGTGACCTGCAGAAATAAAAGTTGCAGTGTATGCTTCACTCACTTGCCTGCAATTTGCTTTCGGAAATTAAATGATCAATTGCTCGTGCTACAAAAGCAATTTTTATTTCTCACGAAATAGCGGTCAGAGGATTTGAGTTTTGCAAACGAAGGATTTTGATAATTTATTATGAAATGACTAGTTTCCAGAAATTGAAATTCCATATCCGTGAAATTTTATACGCTACATGTGACCGCTCTTAAAATGAAATTTCTAAAATTGTAATTTTGTTGCAATTTGAAATTAATTAATTGCTTCGTCTGATAGCAGCTTTATGAGAAATAAATTGAAAGATAGTCTATCTCTTTTGCTCTCCTTATAGGCCGCCATAAATTATTCTTAATTTAAATGTCTGCGCAGTTTTTTTTTATATTTTTGAGCAAAATTTTTGTTTATAGAAAATAAATTTTCTTTTAAACACATATTGATCATTATTATCTACTATCTTTTGCTCTTTCTTGGTCCAGTTCTGTACGCTTTGTTTTCGGAAGATCTGGTTGTAAGCTGATTAATTGTTGGCAGCAGATTATTTATGCAGATTTTAGAAGTTTGAAATGGACGATTGCCTTCCAATCTCACCATAAACTCAGCATAACTTTGTTTGCCATCGATTGAGGTTTTGAAGTATTTTTTCTAGAAATCGAACAAAATGCTTCTAGATCTTCTAGGTTCACTTACAGTACTCTCAAAGTGAGTCAGACAATTTTTAGGCACACTTTTGCAATGCTTTTGCTGTTTCTGTAGTAAAAAAGCATCACCTCACGCAAAAGTTTGGAGATTTTACTCATTTTCAAATCAAAATAATTTTTTGCACAGGAGAAATATTACTATAGCGCTTAATGTTTGTTAGAAGCGGTGGTGCCAAGCGGTGCTTTTCATGTACCAAAAGATCATTATGCGACAGATCGTATCGGTGGAGTCGGCACGTCGTTCGCTGGTTGAACTATTAGCTACATATATGAATGTGCTTTTATACATGCTGATGCACCCTGATGAGAAATAGCGACGAGCCTTTTTTTGTAATATTTTTGATATTTTGTGTTGGTATATAAAATGAAAACGTACATGGCTGAGCTAAGCCCAAAAAAAGAGATATTTTTATTTTTGTCCAAATTCTTTCTAGAGTTCGGCACTTCTGATGCATAGAATTCCTTAGCGCTCTCTTATAAAAAGGATATAATTTTCAGCAGTATATATGTATATAAAACTAACACTATTCGACACATTTTTATTTCTACACTTTTTCTCTCTCTCTCTCTTGGCTTCTATTTTAATTTGCTATTTTCTTCATTATTGAATATTCTTTCATGTCCGCCGCTTGGACACGCTTACAACACCTAAACATTCTACATACATATTATGTACATACACCCTCAAATCTTCAACATATACACAATACGACCACACAACAAAATCGACGCATTTACAGCCAATCTCAAAAACGACAACAAAAGCCACCACGACAACGCGGTCATTAGATGGTGAACTCCTTTGGCAACAGGAGGCCACCGAATTCATAGAACGTTTTCCACAGCGGCGTCGGCCACATGGTACACTCCGTCAGAGCGTCTCTGCTGGTGCGCTTTATAAGAATGGTACAGCGATTACGACGATAAATAAACGCGCTAGTGGCGGCGAATTACTTACAACTCAACAGCGCCACCAACGAGATCTTTTCAGCGGCGATTTAGGCATACCAGAGGTGCGTACGCATGTCGGCAGTATGGTGCACACCTTCGAAACGCTTGCTATGCAACGTAAACTTGCCGATAAGGAGCGTGCGAAAGAGCGCGCCTTGGCGCTGCAACAGCAACAGCAGTGGGAACGTGAACTGTTGCACGAGCGAAACAGTAAGTATATGCCAGCGCTTACAAGCGCCACACACACGACCACATACACATACGACACGCCTACACATGCGTCATGCCCATCACAGCACGGCACAAGTAATAGTAAATATCACAAACTAAAGCGTAAATCACACGAATCGCGTCAGCGTCTCATACAACTCAGTAAACAGCAGCTACTGGCTGCTTTTGGCAACACCATCAAGCAATCGAAGCCAGCAAATGCAGTCGCCAAGCTGGAGAGCAGTTTCAGCGCGCAAACGTTACCCGGTGTCTGTGGTAGGCAGGCACTGCTATCAGATGATGGTTTCCTTAAGCGACACAGTACTATGAGTCTGCACTGTGCAGAAACAAGTGAAAAACCGAATAAGGATGATAACTTTGTAGAGCAATATTGTCAGTTGGACGATGATTATCGCAAAAATCTCTTTGGCACAATATCAAGTAGAATGCATGCGCCTTTACAACAAAATGGAACTCGTAAAGGTAGCGTTGTAAGTGAGCAGTACGCATACCACAACGCGCCCTACAATAGCATGCACAATAGTCTAGAAGTAGAAGACATAATCGTTCACAATCCGCCAAATCTTGAGCACGACGAGGCACATATTGTGAATGCTGCCTTCGATGAGATATTCGCTAGCTATAGCGGCGTTGACGATGATGACGAAGCAGACAAGTCCAGCGCAGCGGGAATATTCAGTAATGCTACCACGTACTCTACACCGGGCGATGAGCAAATGATAAGCCTAAGTGAACTGGATGATGATGTGTTCAGGTCGGTCAGTACGAATCACATCAATAACATTGGACGCCCCGGTAGCACGCCAATGAAGCTACCGGCATTAGGAATGAGTGCGCAGAAAAAATCGGCGCCTCCACCACCATCAAAAAAGTCCCATTTAACATTCAAAACGCCTGCAGGTGAAAGCGAAGCATCAGCGCCTAAACGTAAGCGTCAAATTGTACCGTTAGCCAAACAGAAACAACGTTCTACAACACTAAATAATCTTTTCGATCGCCTAAAGGCAACGCAAACCAAAGTGAAGCGACCATTTGTTAAAATACCCTCAGATAGTCTCTTGAAACAGGATCAACTAAATATTGAACAAATGACGCGTGCACTGCACAAGTACTCACCACAATTGGATCTATACCGAGAGATTGGTGAAGGCGCTGCGGCTGACGAGCGCATCGTTTGCAAAATTGAAGCGGCCGATGGCGACTTTTTGCGCGGCTCTACGCTAAGTCAATCATTTGTACGTCAACTAAACACACGGCAAAAGAAGCCTGCACCGGCGCCACCAACCGGCTGCATACGGTCGACCAACATCAGCGGCGTTAATGCGGTAAATGGTGCGCCTCGGCCACTGCAAGCGTCGCAGCGCGCAAAGTCTACAAATGAATTGTTACTTGATGACTTGGCGCTGCAATCGCGTCGTTATCAGCGTGCAGCGAGTCGGAAATATGCAGCACCTCCAACGCCAAAGAAGCAACTTCAACAACAAACACAAGCCATGGCTGTGCTCACAGTATTGAAAGGCGATGATGAAGCCACACAGCGGTGCGAGCAAAACGCTAACAACAGTAGAGGGCATGGCGTTGGCGCTGACACGACGCGTAGTACACGTGGTCTTACGAAAAATTTTTTACGCGGCAGCGCAGAAATTTAATCATAACACTTTGCAACGGTGAGCGGCAGGTGAAGTGGAGCAGCTCACTAGATACCAAAAACTGAAAAGGTGTACAAAACATGCACTCGAATTGACGCTCAACGTAAATGTTAATTATTTAGAAAAATATATTTCACTGTATTGTATGTAATTGTATTGTATTTACTAAATATACTAAGCAAACAATTAATTTTTTGCCAGCTGAAGCGAGCCATGTTTTCATGTAAACAATCTTTGAGCATTTATTTTTCACTTTATTTAATAATAAAACAAAAATAATAATAATAAAACTAAAAAAAAATATTAAATATAATACATATAGTATTAGTATTTATGTATGTGACTGATTTTTCTGTTAGAGTACTCATGTTATAACCAAAGTATTACTTCTTACAAATACAAAAAGTTCGTGATTAAAACTGTTAAAGTTAATGTTAAATATACATAATACATAATTCACAATAAATATGTAAGTTATAACGTTGTGTAAATAATTATAAGCACACTAAAGTAGGAAAAAACGTATTGATTTTTAACTATCTGTAGTCTATACATACATATATATATATGTATTCTCATTTTTACTTTTTTTTTGAAATACTAAAAACTTAATTTAATATATTTGTTACAATGTAAGTTTAACAATTAATTCAATATGTTTGAGGTTATGTGGCTCATATAAGGCTTTATGAATATTTGAATGAAAAAGTTATGATGATTTACCAGACATTGACTTGAGATTTGTATTAAGATTAAATTAACGGTGTCATACAATCACGATTATTGGTATCATAGCCAAAAACAGCGGTTTTAGCGACTAATTTTGTTTAAAAATATATAAAGTAAAATTCACCACAACCAGTAGCTTTAAACACGCACAACCAAAATATTACACAGCAACAAAGAAGCAATTAGTAGTCTGTGGATATGGCGAAAAAAAGAAAAAACAAAATTCAATTGTAGCTATTGTTTTGCCTACGGCATTATGGTATGGCACCAAAAATCGGAAACAGTGTTGCCCATTATGTTGGTTAGATCAGCTGCTATGGTATGGTATAGTTATGACACATATCTCATGGCTATGGTGAAATTTTCAATGAGAGTCCAATTTTAAAGTGTAACGCAAGCCACTTTATTTGGAAAAATCGTTTTAATTTGATTACCAAAAAATAATATTTGAACATTATAGAATAAATGTCAAAAGGATTTAAGCATGTCCGAAAATTATTTCAATTCAATTTCGTAAATTAAGTGTGTTTTTCTTAAAAAATTTTCAATGGTCAAAACCGGTTTTTCTCCTACATCTTTATAATAAAATTTCAAAGAAAACCACATAGGAGATCTTTCGCAACTTAATTTAAACAATTTTTGTAAAAAATTAAATGCCAATATTTATAATTTTTTTTTTTAATTTTTTCACAAGAATAAGTTTTCCTTGAAATCCTTACCAATTACACAGGAATCAATATTTTTTAAATCTGCTACGAATTTTCCCAGCTAATCTCATGTAGACTAAGAAAAAAGATTATTTTGTTTCATATTCAAACCCCATTAAGTAAATGTCTGCAGTTGCGTCATTTTGTATAATTGTATAGCTTATTAGCATATATTTTTTTTATTGTACATTTTTTTTTCTTCCATTTCAATATAAAACTTCTCAAATCATTATAATGGTATTCCCTTTCCTTCCGGCAAAAAAAAAAACTTTTTCTGAAGACAGTTTTTTTTACAGTGTAGTTACCCTTTAACACATGACCTTTAACCTTTTTCCACTAAAGTTACTGATTTTTTAAAATCGTATTTTCCGGGAAGAAAGTCTCGTTCTAAAAACCTTCTTTCAACAAACAAGTTCTCAGTAAGGTTTCTCAGTAATCCACCGCATTATGAGCTGCTTTCGAATCTCGTCTATATTTGAAAATCCAACGATCTAACGAATTTTCATTTGATATTGTGACATGATTTCGGTCAAAGAACGTATATTCAATATATATATAAAATATTTAATATACGTTCTTTGGCATCTATTACGATTTCTAATTCTAATGACAAACTAATCTTATTCGAACTATCAAGAGGTTTTTGTTTTTTTATTTCTTCTGCGTTCATTGCTTATTTCATTAAACAAAAAAATAAGAAACTAGACAAAAAAATTTAGAAATTAAATTTTTGATTTGTGGCTGCGATTGTCATTAAAATCATATAGCAAAATGAAATAGAATGAGTGAGAACAGCAGCTGCTTCTGAGCATTATCCAACCAGTGTATGTATCAATGAATTTATTGAAAGAAACTTTTGGCCAGCGCATCATCTCGCGTCGTGATCTCCAAGTTCGTGTGATGTAACACCGCGGTACTATTTTTACTGAGGTTACGTGAAGTTCAATTGTGTACTCAGATAAGCTCGAGACGATGGACGCATTGGAAGACAATATTCGGCGCGTTATTGCCGACATATGACCCCAATTGCTGTTAAACGTGGTCGACAATTAGTCTAACCGCTGGGGTATATTCGAGTCATCTGAGACGGTCACTTGCCCGACTTAAATTTTAAAAGCTTAATGACAAACCCTCTTATTTATAATAAGCCTAAATTCTTGGCCATTACATCAAATTATATGCGCTTTGTTTCTACTTGAAAGCCAAATGCATAAAAGAACTCCTTTGAAAAAGAGACTAAATTTAGATTTGCTTCAAGAACTTGAATGTAACTCAGTAAAGAAAAACCATATGAAAAGATTTGAAAAAAAAGAGTCGTTACTCGAGGAGACCCTCTCCACTTAAGTGTCATAAAAGAATATTAATTTATTTTAATTAAGTAATCATTTTAAAAATTATAATAAAGAATAAAAAAAAAGTTAAAAAAAAATCAACTGATCACAAATGCAATAAAATAAATTGATTTTATTTACTTATACACATACATATACATATGTAAATACATACAAATCATAATTCAATATAATTTCAATTTAATTTTTTTATCATGCAGCGGTCACATTACTTTAATAACGGTCACAAAATGTATTTCGAACGAAAAACGAATAGCAGCATAGCTACAATAAAACAGTTAAAGAAATAATAAAATAAACAAGAAGTCAAAAAAATACGCATGTACAAATATATGTAGGTGAAGCAACCGTAAATGGTTATCATAGGCCATCGAAAGCGATTTTGTTCAACTATAAAATATAATAAATTAATCTTTTATTTATATTTTATTTTATTAATTTATAATTCGTGTGTACCATAAGAACAATTTCAATACAAAATTTTCCTTAGTAGACTCAATAGATGACCTAGAAATTACAGGCTCTTGCTCTCATCGCAGCTACATATTTGTAATTTTACGAAATATTTGTATATTTCCTCTTCAAGCTGAAATTTTAATAAATACATAGAAAGAAGAGTTGTATTCCCTAAATGTATGCAACACTTTATTGTTTATGTTAATATAATATTTGAACTTATAACGTATATTACACATATACATGTAGCTATAATATTTAAGCCATTCAGCGCGTACAGTGTGAACAAAATGTTTGTAAACATAATGCCAACTGAAGAAATACAAGTCAAAAGAAATTATGCATAGGTAAAGAAATAAAATTAGTTACACAATAAATGTATTAACAAATCAAAGAATGTAGACATGAAACGATACAGATAATACATACATACATACATACATACATCCATATATATGCCTAACAGGTATGTGTAAAATATAGCATATTAGGATAATAAATTATAAGATCAACATTTTTGTGCATGCAATAAAAAAATTAACAACAAAACAAATAAAAAGTAAACTACGTATATATAAAAATATTCACGTAAACGTATTTTCTCTTGTAAAAGTTTAAACACGTAAGTATTAGACCTATTGTGGGATTTTAATTTATTTGTCCTCGCTATATACAGGGTTACCCGTTTTGCGGTTTCGAAAATTAAAGTAAATAAAAGACATTTGAAATAATTTTCTTCACGAAACTCTTTTTATATTATAAAATTTGAACCTTGTCATTACACATATATGAGCACTACATCATTAAAACGTCCGCCTTGCGAGTTTTTATAATATTGAACGGTACCTAAGCCAAAACTTGACGAATGTCAGTTTTCAAGTGCTCAAGAGTTAAAGGTTTATACACATAAACACCGTCTTTCGCGTCAAATCTCACGATCTCGATGGCCAATTGATAACACCAAGACGAGAGATTACGATTACGATTAAAATAAACCGTATTCGCTCGTATTGTGTGTCATGTAACACCAACATGTTGAGACCGAATATTGTGCACGTCATGTTCTTCAATTGCAGGCCAAAAATATTCGGCTATGATACGACGATAACGCTCCGAATGGACAGTCTCAATTGACAGGAAGTTTTTCTGCGTGTAGTTGACTCTCTTCGATTCTCGGAGCTTCTATATGCCACAATTTTCCTCATTTACTGCTCCTCCATGTGAGAATTGAAGAAAATTTTATTCGAAAAATCACTGTTGCTCAAACACCCAATCAACTTTGTAAATGATCAGTTGTCATGTGAGCCAAACTTAATATGAATGTGGGTAAAACCACATAATATTAACCCCATTTACGAGTTTATAGCCGAATCAGCAACTGCAGCGCAAGTCGTTTGTTATTGTCGAGATTCCGCGCTGAAGACATCAAACAAAGCCAGTTCCTTCTACTTCTGATCTTTTTAATTCCCCCGTTATACCTATTCTGGGTACGAACATCTTCATCCCTTAGGCATCTCATCTCTTTTCCATTCCAGGGCTTTCTACGCTCTGCAGAAATGGCTTTCAAGCTAACTTCATTAATGCCTCTGATATATAAAAACTCGGTCCCGTGATACACTCTTTTATCAAACTTCATAGTTCGCGGGATTTTAGCTCAACAGCTGCCTTACATAATTCTGTAGTGGTTATTGGTGTAGCAGTTCGCTAGCCCCGCTTAGAAGCACGAAAGATCAGTCTAAGTCATCGATGACATCTATCAGGAGGTTCAGGAAACCAGTTCTTTCAACGGGTTCGGACCAGAGGGAACGATAAGGTTAGATTAGTTTGGTTTTAGGAGGCTTGCAAAGAGGATGTCAGGGTCGTACGACGACTCATTGCCTGCAAGACCTGCGTTGGGCATGTCGGGGTCAATGCTGAATCTGAGCGACCCTTTAACTTAGTTTCTTGACTATCTATGGTCGACTATATGTATGTAAGTGAAATAACATCAGCATTCGAGCTTTAAAAGTTTGCGAAGAAATACCCTTGGTTAGATACAACAGAAAGAGATCTCTGCTCCAAGTGAAAGTGATGATGGTTGGGATCTCCAATTTAAAAAATATATTTTCTAATTTCTATAGGTCACAAACATACAAAAAAAAATCTAATTTTATTCTATTTTATTAAATACAACAAAGCGGTGATATGTGGAGTATTCATTTGATATCATCCTGACGATTATGACAGCGTTTAATGTGTTTGTTCATATTACCCCAGTTAGTAAATTGCCGACTGCAGTGCGTACAGGAATAGGGACGTTCTCCAGTATGTAAATTAACATGACCCTGGCAGATTAGACGAATATTATAACCACATTTTTTATAATTTTTTATGTAAACATATAAATACAATACGTATGAATGTAGGATTATTATTGTGTACACACCATTAATCCGCTGCGGAAGCGAAAGCTCCGATCACAATATTTGCATTTAAAAGGTTTTTCCCCAGTATGAACTCGTTCATGCGAACATTTTGAATCCTTCGTGCGAAATCTCTTGTCGCAATAATCACAGCTAAACTTCTTTATATCATTATGAATTAGTAGATGTTTTTCCAAACTATTTGGCGTCTTTAAGCTGTAAAATTTAAAAATATATCAGTGTGGGCAACACATTAACTAAAAAATAATTATATACATATGTTTGTATCTATCAATAATAATATAGGTACCTTTTCTTACATATTTTACATTTGTATGCTTTGTCATCCACATGTGAATACATATGGATTTCTAAATTGTGTTTTTGGTGAAATTGACGATCACATATCTCACACGTGAACTCTTTCAAACCTGCAATATTATATGTTATTAATTGAATTATAACTTCTTCAAGAAATGACATACCGGAATGGATTTTTTCGTGCACCCGCAAATTTCCAAGTAATGTGAACTTTTTGTCGCAATAGGAACACTGATTACATTTTGTTTCATCAAATTTTTTTGCACTATTCAATGCAATATTCTGATCACGAGCAGTTTTACCACATGTATCACGCAACTCAACATATAAATGGGATGTCTCGCAGGCTTTCTTTTTATCGAGTTCTATATTTTTGCCGGTTTCCTGTTGAATATTAAAGATTATTATAAATTTAACTGATTGATTTAGCATCTTGAAAGCATATACTTGAATACAAACCTTTAAAGTTTTACCATTATTAGTACGAAGAGCTTCACCGACGGTATCGTTAAGAATGATATCTGATACAGTTGATTCATTCACTGAATTCGCTTCTTCAAGCATAATTACATCGTCATTTTCTTCTTGCTCCTCTGCAATATCTTCAGTACCTTTCCGTACCTCATCTTGCTCTAACAAGAATAATTCAATTTCATCGTTTTCTAAGAAATGCTTTGGACTTGAATTTGATTTGATATCGTTTTCTGAAAGTAAGCTCTCTCCGTCAGAACTTTCAACAGTCTGTATTATTTGATACAATCGGAAGACATCTTCTTCGTTGTTTGTTTCCAAGTTTTCTGACTGCAACTTATCGTGTGAATTAGTTTCGTCAATAATCGCCTCTATATCCAGTTCAGACGGTTTTGCATTAGGCCTAATATTTTCTACTTGTTTATTATTTGTTCTACTCAATGTTTGCCCATTGTTAGCCTTTGACACCTTAGGTTTGGTGTCGGCAAACAATAGTTTCAAAGATTCTTGGGATTCCTGCACTTTTTTAAAGAATGCAAATGCTTTTTGCAGCGCTTCAAAGCAAATGCAGCAGGTATATTTAGGTAATTTGTCCCCATAATGACACATTTCCATGGTAAAGCACTCTTTTATTTTCTGACAAACTTCTTTTGTCATAGGTAGTAGCATATCAGTTTTTCGCACCGCCGCGCATAACCGACATAAACCCACCATCACAATTTCCGGAACCTATTTAAAAAATACCACTACCAAAATATTCAATTATTTTGTATTTTTGTTTTTTTTTTACCCAAACTGTACAACAGTACTAAGTAAATCAGAGTACATTCCGATGGAAACAGCTGATTCAAAAGTGAGTCACAAGATGGCGCTGTGTCTTACAAGTCTAACGAAAGAACGTGTAATGGTATAACTAGTTAACGCGCATGAAGCCAATACCAGGAAAACGTATCAGCGTCGCATAATTGATTGCCTTGAATTTCGAATTATTTTTATTTTTTTTGCAAATTAAAACATCTGAAATCGTTTTCTGGTTTAAAAGTATTGCTACGAATGTAAGACGCATTAATTTAACTATGCTTGTACTTCCATAATATATTTTAATATACAAATAAGAGAAAACGCTTTCCATTTCATATACCTCCCAGACATACTACCCAACTTGAAACCAATCACTATTTCTACATTGAATAAAAAAACTTGAATGTCCTGGCGTAGATTAAACATGTTAAAATTATAGGCAGTAAAAATATAGTTTAATTTCGATTGATTTCGTTGATTTTTTCGTCGGATTCCATATTCAATACTTATTAAACTATTTTTAAAACCTTTCACTTTCCCTTCGCTTTCAATTTGTGTGCCGTATGAACGAGAAGATTGAGAGGACGAACAATGTAATTGACGATGTAGTAGGAAACCCGAATAAGCTAAATTCCAGCAGGTACATATCGACAACTGTTTTATATCTGCTAATCCAAAAATTATCGATAATATAATCTTTAAACACAGCTGATTTGTTATCAAATAAGATTTAACTGATGTAAATAAAATGCACTTAATATCAGATATATTTTTTATAAATACTTATAGATAGTATTATACATTCGCCACTTAAACTTAGCAACAACAATATGTAAATGAAGTTAAAGCGGATGAAAAAGGTGTCTTCAGAAAATTGTTGTTGTGAAATAATTTATAACCGTACTAATATTTAACATCTATTTATTGTTAAAACAGCTCATTACACGGAACAAAACGGATCTTCTTCAACGCCATGAATATTAACATATTTGTTCATGAAATGCCAAAAGTTGAACTACATGCTCATCTCAACGGATCGTTGAGTGTAAACACCATACAAGAATTGGGTGCAAAACTCTATGGTTCGAAGAGCGAGGAATTCACACATCTTAGCGAACAACTTACAAACTTCGATAATGTCGATCTCGGAGGCTGCTTTGAAAAATTTGATTTTATGCATAAATTGACCTCAACTCGAAGGGGCTTGCACTTGGCCACTATATTAGCAATACGTGATTTTGCCAAAGATAATGTGGCTTATTTGGAACTACGTACGACTCCAAAAAATACTGAAGAAATGTCTAAAAAGGATTATTTAGAATGCGTTTTAGAGGGAATAGTGCGTGGTAAAGAACTTCACAACATCCTCGTAACGCTGCTTATTTCTATTGATAGGTCTCAAAGCGTAGCTGAAGCAGAGGAAACCATCAATATCATACCGAAATTTAGAAGCAGATATAATAACATTATCGCAGGTATCGACTTTAGCGGCAATCCAAACAAGGGAAATTTTTCTGACTTCAAGCCAGTTTTAGAGAAGGCAAGAGAAGATAATTTAAAATTATCCGTCCACTGTGCAGAAATACACAATCCTTCAGAAGTTGATGAAATGATCGAATTCGGTATGGATCGTTGTGGGCATGGTACATTTCTTACTGACCAACAACTACACAAATTGGGAAAACAAAAAGTAGCTATTGAATGTTGTTTGACAAGTAATGTCAAGTGTTCCACCGTAGCCAAATATTCTGAACACCATTTTAGAAACATCTTTACATCTGAGAGCGCTCCAGTGGTACTTTGCACAGATGATTGCGGGATATTCAATACAACTTTATCAAATGAATTTTTGATGGCAAAAAAATACTTTGCTTTAAGTAAACCAGATATGATGAAACTTTCGCTGACTGCTGTTGATCACGCATTCGTCAGTGAAAATGTTAAACGGGACTTACGACGAATAATAGAACGTTACTTTGATTCTGAGTGCTTACGTCTTCCCTGTTAATGAAATTAAAAATAAAGATGTTGTGATTTAAAGTATTTTAAAAAATATTTTTGTTAATTAATTTTGTACTTAATAAATACGTGAGAATAATCAAACATTGTGGTCTTTATATATGCACGAATTGGGTAATCAAATATACATTTATTTTATAATTCGAAAGTATTGGCGGGCAATGTGCAATCGATTACTTCATCGATTCACCATAATCTTCAATTTATCGTTCCGCTTATTTTTTATATAATTTTTTTCTTTGAAAATGCAAAAATCCACGACAGAAAAATTACGTGTTTCACTCTCTCAATCGTAATCCTCATTCCAATTACATACCGATTTCCTTAATTCCTCATTCAATTTTTTGTGGGCGTATTATACTAATTGGTTTATTTTCATTATCGGTAAAGTAAATTTTATTCCTTTTTTTAACACCCGAAATTGAATTGGGTATTCTAGCGCACAGGTAACATTATTTGACAAAATTTTGGCATCACTGCTTTTTTCGTCTATTTCAAGTTACGGTAGGTAAAGAAAAAAGGATAATATTCACATCGAAATGGAAGACGATGTCAAAGAACGTATATTAATATACGTTGTTTGACAGGACGAACAATTTTTTGACATTTGTACCCGCTTTTTAGTCGGGTATTTACTTCGAATTACTCGTATCGTTATCTCTGTTGTTATCGAAGTCACTATCCTCTTTACATATATGTACCATTATATAGTTTACAAAATAAATTGTCGCGCAAATATATTTTTCAGCAAAAATATATTTCACATCTTTTATATAAAATATTTGCGCAGTTTTTTTATACACAGTAGAATGATACCTATTTGGCAAATGATGTTGGGCGTTTGTATTGGTGTTGTTGCTCTCATACTTGTCCGACCACGAGCGCTTCCCAATCAAGAAACCAATCAAGAAAACCGAAAACGAAACAGAAAAAATTCTAGCACATTCACCACGTAAGAGTTTTTATTTATTTATTAAAGTCTTAATCAATGTTTCATCTATAACAGTACTCCTGGTGATTCTTGTGTCATTTGCCTTGATGAAATGACTAATAGTACAATGGCGTACTTGCGTTGCGGCCATGCTCTGCATGATAAATGCTTGGAAATATTCAAATCTTATCAACAAACCTGTCCAATTTGTAGCCAACGTATTTGAGATCTGTAGGTATTATATTATTTTGCTGTAGAGTTGGGTTAAAATTAATAATATAAAAATAGAGTTCGTTACAGAACTAAAGTTAATACAATCAGTACACATATTCGGAACGAGAGGATACTTTTTAAGTTATACTAGAAACGCAAATAGGCTGATTGCAGCTTTCGAAATACAAAAGATTGATTTAAACATTTCAAAAGATTTTATAAATGTATGTAATAGTTAAACCGTGTTTACGTTATTTATTTTAAAATTCATTTTATTTACAAACTTTTACTCTTATAAAACTATGTATGTTAGAAGAATTGCATTAAAAAAAAATAAAAATTAAGTTAATAAACAATTAGTGTATAAAAGACTTGTGAGCTTATAGTATATGATGGAATTGGCGACAGTTTCAAGTGTATGAATTTAACATAGGCAGCGCATTAGTTTTCCAATTTTCATGCCAACGTAGTGATTGAAATGCGTGTAAATTTTTCCGGAAGCGTTCTTTGGATTCTAGTAAGCTTGGATTACAAGGAAAATTTTCAAACCAAAACTTAAGTTGCTCGGATAGCTCTTTGTGATTCTCAAATATGAATCCATTCTGGCCATGCGTAACCAACTCACCGAGGCTGAAAGAAGATAAGTTTTCACTGATTTATATCCATTTTACTTATTAAAAAAAGACTTTCGAGTAATTAATTCTAAGTAATGTGCGCAATCAAAAGATAACATGATACAATGTAGCATGTATATAAGTTGATTAATTTAATCATTATCTTTATCCGCTTTGACTCTTGAAATATTAAAATAAATTATCCGCTACTCACCTCTGAAAATTATAGGCACACACAGGCAACCCACAGCCGAACATATCTACTACTTTCATAGGCAAGTCGAGACCACTGCTACTATAATGTAAACAAACTCCTAAATCTGCTGAAGCCAAAATAAGAGGATAGTCTTCTATCTCCAGCCACGGTGTTATTATGGAAACTTTGGACCATTTAAGTTTAGCAATTATGGATTCGTATTCCTGTTTTTGTGGTCCTTTACCGGTAATAATACATAACAGTGCTGGGAAGTGGTTTGGACGCGCCGTGGCAATGTTTTCATACCCTAAATGTCATTTTTCTACATCAATTATATGGCATATATGAATGCAAATATAAAGCTTACCCTCTAATGCCTTAAGCAATATGCCAAAATCTTCATCCGGTGTCCAGCTAGTACTTGATACAACAATACCCACTCGCTGGGACTTATAAGAAACATTTCCATCAACTAATTTCTGGGTTAATGCTGTTGTTTCAATAACGCCTGATTCTTTAAGATCTGCATAACATTTAGGCATGAATTCTGGATATTCTTTGGACAACTTCATAAAGAGCTCGTGCTTTCTCGGTAAATCGATGGGTTGAAATTGATTAGGTGGGCGATCGTAAAGAACAACCGCTGGACTAATGAAGATAATCATATATTCAATGAATATTTGTTTATTTAGGAAAGTTGTTGTACTCACCCGATTTTCCAGTTTTGAAGTAGGTCTTGCTGCATTGCTTTCGTCACACAGAAATGTCCATTTGCTTTACCACCAAAATAACGCTCAATCCATTTGGCCAGGCGACAAAAGTAACTTTTTTCACCGTTGATAGTGCCCAATGCTAATATGGAATATGTGTAATTGTGCCAATCAATGATAAATTTTGTCCTCGTAATGGCACAATACAAATAGCAAATCACTAACGTAGGAACACCGGGAGGATTTTGTACAAGTAAAAAATTTGGACGACGAATCGAAACTAGTGCTATAAGCAAACTTAAAGTTTGCCAAAATGTCTTGAAAATCAGTTTCAGTTTGGATGTGAGATTTGTTACTGGTACAGGTGTCAATTCATGTATTTTGCAGTTAGACTGTGAATGTGTTAGGGCATCAAGAGGTTTCGTGTCAACATAACCAATTAAATCAACATTAAAGTTTTCTTCGAGCAAGCTGACGGCATGATATTGCATGCGTGGACTCCGTCCGATATCACCCAGCACTACAATGCAGGCATTTCGTCGTTTAATTTGCAGCTCGACCATTGCGCCACCCCAGAGTCTGCGTAATTTAAAAATATAAAAATTAGATAGTTTAATTTTTTTTATAGTTATATTATTACTAAATATTTCTTTTTTTTAATAATTGTACAAGTATTAAAAATGTCAACAATTAAACGCAAACTTTTGATATCGCAAGTCAGCTGATTAGCCATACTTATTCACTTGATAGAAAAACTCAAAAGCTTATCAAAGTGAGAGAAATCTCGCCGGTGTTAACTACAACAAATGTTTCCACTTGCTTTGCGGGGAAAAACGACCGAAAGTCAATTATACTTAATGAAGATCAGATATGAAAATTATATCTTTAGATGGAATAACAAAAATTCCTGAATATGATTTAATTTTCTACTATACCAAACCATTTATACATTAAATTTTTTTATCGGTAACCCTCGAAAAACATAACAATAGCCTAGCTTCTACAAAGAACACTACATAAAAAATTTTGGTTTAAATGATAAAAAAAATAGAGTTAAGGACTAAAGAGATTGCGATTAGAAATTGCCGATCAAAACTAGAAATTTTCTGTAGGATTACAGGCCCTTACAAATCTTGCATGTAAATAGAGCCACTGTGCATATTCTTTCCTTGGCCAAACAAGAAGCAGTGTAGAAAATTAAAGGGTAAAGGGTACTTTTACGATTGATATTTACTTTTATGTGCATTAGTTTTTTCTTTCATGTTTTTCCATATTTAAGTATATCAAAAGCATTTTCTTGTCTTATGATATGTAGTTGTATAAAAACGTGCTTTCACATGTCTACAAAATTCTATATTGTCCTTGACCGGATAAAAATCTGCGATAAAATCGTGAATATCGCGGAAACTATTTGATTTTAATCATGAGAGGATAAGTTTTTTAACAAACGCTTTAACATAACCAATTCTCTCTTTTGCTATGAACGAACGCAAAAGAGAATTTCCTACGAGTGAAGACGGCCGGTAATGCAATGTAAGTGCTACATACTTTTTTACTATTATCGAAATTAAATTATTTTAAAGGGTATATAAATTAATATTAAACTATTTCATAAATAATTTATTTCCGCTCATATATCTATATATATTTTACATATAAATATACATAAATACTTTTATATACTTATATTTATGCATACACTTAAATATAGCGTATACATATAATATTATATATTTATTTATATATCTTCTACTTTGTACTTTCATATTTTGTTACATTATTTACAATTATTTTTAGCTCTAACAATTTCCTTTATTAAAACTAGCTATCAATTTTTCTTTTAAAGTATTAAAATATACATCAACATAATTTTACATTATTAAAATCATATTTTAATTGCAAACACCTTCTAATTATTTTTGGTTGATATTTTACGTTAGGGCGGCGGCAACTCTGTTTAATATTTTCTCTTTTTATAAAATGAGAAACAGAAACATAACAATAGTTTTTCCGCTATCAATTTTTTATTAAAGAAATGTTTTTAATTATTAAAAAGTGGTGGCAGCTCTGCACTTCATATATACAATTTTCATGCGATAATTCCTGCAAAGTTTATTAAAACATCATTCCAAAAAATTGCTGTACGTTGGAAAATTATGAGAAAAATATAATAAATAAAAATACGAACAAGTAATAAACAAAAAATTCAATAAATTTGATTAAAAGAGGTAATGTAATCTTATAAGAAATTACTGAAAACATAAATATTCTGATTACCATTATATGTGTTTTATAGAAATTAATATATTTTTTATGTCTGGAAGACGTAAGCGTGGTCGCCCACGCCGGGGCGATGGACCAACGTTGGATGATATTGACGTAATGCTTGCTCGTGAGTTCCAACAACGACCGGCATTTTATGATCGCAATCATCCACAATATAGAAATAGGGATTTCTTAGAGACAATGTGGATGGATATGGCGGAGAGTGTTGGTCAGAATGGTAAGACTATTAATCTATTTAGTGAGATTTAACTGTACAATTTCATTATATTAATGTGAGAGATTTTCATTTATTGCAAGTAAATGTAAATGTTAACAAATAATTTACCAACATCCAACAGTTGCTATTGTAAAAAATCGCATGATACAGCTAAGGAATCGTTATAACTTGGAAAAACGACGGGTGGAAATGTTACAAGATCAATACAATGATCCTAGTATTACATCGCAATGGCCAATGTATAATTATTTAAAATATTTAGGTGATCATATCAAAGCACGACGGTCATTTACTAAAGACATTATTGTTAGACCGAAATCGGCGCCATTTTCCAATTCCAGGTAAGCACTTTATTGTTCTTTTTATTTGTACGACTTAAAATAATTCAAAGCATAAGACCTGTGCGCTTTGCCTATTGCAGCGATTCGGATGGTTATGATGAGCCTAATCCATACCCGCCGTAAGTTATATTAAATATTTTGTGTTGATTTATTGAAATTGATTTATAAAAATGAAATATTTTAGAAGTCCGCCTACCGTTGCTGTACCGGGGAGCCAGCTTGGTCGATCTGATTTGCCCAACAATGTAGGTGAATCTAACTGCAATTCAAACTACACTGATCTGCAGGCACCAGGCCCTGAGAAAGAAGAGGATCTTAGTTTAAATTACAATGTAAATTTTTGTAAGTTCAGATCATTTGGACAGTTTTTAGCTTCGTCTTTGATGGAAATGAATCAAAGGGATGCCTTGCATTTGGTTGAGAAGTTTACCACAGAACTAGTAAAATCATTACTCACTGAAGCTAACAATAAACCGGCGGATTCCGTATTGACGACTGTTATAAATGGACATACTTGAAGTAAGATCAATTTTCCTTGCAGTTTATGTTTATTTATGTATTTTAATTTACATTATTATTTGTGTATTCGCTATAGATTGAGATAGCATTGGTGGCTAGAATTAAGAAACTTAATGTATAATTGTTAAAACTGTCAAAATTAATCAATTTATAGAAACATAATATATGAAATAATAGGCGGCGGATGGCATCAACAAAACATTCACCTAGATTACACGGCATTTTGTATTTACTTACATATGTATGTATTTCAAAAGAGCATTTCATTTGTCTTCTTTATTGCAATGTAATAAACCAGTTCGATATGTTTGTATACATATATGCATGTACGTAGTTGCGTTTTTGTGCAATTCGCCAAAGTACAAGGTACTGATTTTAATAAATATTCACGTAAACCAAAGCCTTGTAAAATGATTAATGGGACATCCATAAACAACGTCGTCAAGTTATATGTATATATTCCTCCTGTGACCCCTCAATCTGTTTATGGTGCTTAGTGGTGTCTTTTCTGGAACGTCTTCTTGCTTGGCAATATTTTTCATTTTCGCCTAGACAACACCAAAAAAAAAAAAATAATTTTTAATAGAACAACTTTAATTTTTGCTAAATAAATATATTATATGACTGCCAAACATATGCTTAACCCTCAAATAAACTAATTTATTAACAGTTCATTGTTTTTCAATCAATACGTCCTTATAAAATGATTTTATTAAATAAAATTTTCACATGAGAAAATTACCTAGCTCTGCAATCACCTACTGTTCTCGTTAAGTGGCTCAACGTAGCATTTAAACTCTTCCTACCCTCTTGATCGAACATTCATAGGTGGTTTATGGACGCTCTCTAAGTGTAGTAGCATTTATTATGATGCGCCGTGTAAGTATGATCATTAGGATTTAATTAAAGAATTACTTGGAAAAAGTATAGCAAATTAAAAATAATTTGAATTCGGCAAGTAGTCTTCTGTGTATTTTGGGCAGGCTTTTTATAAATGCTAGGATAATTTCTACACCCGGAAAAAAACACAAGCTACCAAAAAAGTAGAATGTTGCAAATTCCCACCGTCATACGTATGTTCATCATATTCGTGAACTCACTTAGCTAAGTCACAAACCATTTGCGTTGTTTTTAGGTATACATAATGCCATGTTGGACCTGCCGCTGAACTTGTTCCAACATGATGTGTATAACAGTTTCGATGTTTTACGTTCTCCATTTCCGCAAAACAATACAAACTCTAAATGCGTCATCTGCATCATTTCGTGTGTTGTAGCGTTCGAGTGCAATGCTTGCGCGGAAGAATATTTCGTTTTCGTAAGAGTTAACACATATATATATATATATTTATATATATGTATTATTGAGTGATTATTAGTGTTTCTGTTATTAATGAATTAAAAAGCAATATTGGAATGTAAACAACGCTTGAATAGGGGTTTTATAAACAAGTGTCAAAAAATTCCAATGTACATAAGTGTATTAAATCCGTTGTTTCATAAAATCCAATGTTTCTGGTGCTATTAGGAAGATATTACAAGTCAGACAAGTGCGCCGAGGTAAATGTTAATGAATTGTTGAAGTGATTGAATGAAGTGTCTGGCCGAAAAACAGACATATACTATATATACATATATGTATATATGTATGATAAAACATATATGTACATATGTATGATAAAACATATATGTACATGTGCCAAAAAGTTTGTACTGAAGGTAAATGCATAGGTGAGATATGGCCATTTGAGAAAATTTCGACAGGTGTATAATAAATACTTACATTTCTATGTATGCATGTATGCATGTGCACACATGCATTAAACGCGTATTAAAGGAAGTCATGTGAACAGTGATTTATTTTCTGAAAAAAAGTTGTAAGCCTAAAATTAAGTGAAGGATAGAAAAAACATTATAATTTTTTACTCAAAAGAAAAATATTTACAGATATGCATTTTAAATGAATGTGTGATTAGTGTTTGTGCAAATCTAGAAATAAGTTCCATACTAAAATTTCGATATATTTAAAATAAATATTATAATCTACAAATCAGTGCAGTGCTAAAGTGCAAAAAAAAATTTAAATATACTTATAAATACTGGCACTTACCAAGCCGCTTTATATATGTATACATACATATGCATAGATATATGTATATGTTTGTATGTCCTTCTGGTAAGTTATATTTCAAAGCTCTTCAGAAAGTTGCATTGTATTTGTAAACACAGATGGAAACTTGTTTGAAAATATATTATCTATCTGTTCTGATTCTGGCAGTCGATTTAGCCAGTTTCGAACAACATTCAAAATATAGAAAATTAATTCTTCTAATTGCGGTCACCCCTAGGCAGGGAATGTCAAGCACTCCGGAGCGTATTTCTGACCAGAAAAAAAAAACTGCGCATAAATAGACCCTCCGGAGGCAGCTTAGACTAAACTCTAGGCCTTACTTTCGTTGGAAAAACATCAAGACGCATACCAGAAATCGGAGAAGGAAATCGGCCGAAAATCGGTTTAGCAATTACAAAGTGGCAATTTTATATACACATATGCTGATTCTATTTATTGACGTTTTTATTTCTGGCATATTTTTTTATTTATAATTTGTCTTACTTTATTTGCTTAAAAGCATTTTCATGACAGACTTTCCTTGTGGACACATTTGCTTGGTAAAACTTTGCAGACGACGTAAAGTATCGATATAATACACTAACAACAACAATAACAGTCTTTCCATGGTTTATCGTAATCGCATCCTTATATGCGTACATTACAGTGTGTGAGGGTGATTTTCTTGCGACATCTCACCAAGAGGGTGGCTGTTTGTTTGGCGTCTGTAGCCATCACATTCCAACGTATATATATTTTTGTCGCAACATTTTGCCGGTAAAAAACAAAAACAAACAAACAAAATAACCAAGCCAAAACAGCGACCCCAATCAACGGTCTGACACCGTGGTGTTATCGCATTGCACGATAAACCAGTCAACAAAGCAACCAACAGCACAACAGCAAACAAAAACAGTTTGAACCTTCAAAGAGTGGCTAAAATTTACGTTCTCTACATTTGCTTTGTTGCCATCGAACCGGCCGCAAGAATCCAATCGAACAGCCAAAGTCAGACAGCCAAGTAGCCACCCACTTCATTTCCTCCCTCAACAAGCAGATAGTGTTGCCATTAAAAATAAATCTCTTTAAGAATAAAAGTAAAATTAACAAAAAAAAAAAAACATATATATTATATATATACATATGTATATAAATATATGCATGTATATGGCATGGGAATATTACCTGGGTTGCTTTTATCATTATATGCATACGTACACATATAGTTCATACATACATTTACGTAGTAAAGAGTTTTCCAATATGAGGTGCTGAGGCCCATTTCCGTTTCCTCAATGGTTACAACAATAGGCAAAACTGTGGCTTTTGGGGCTCCGAAAAACTAAGATTTATTGTTGAAAAGTCTCTCTAACCTCAACGTGTTACTATTTGGTGCGGTTTTTGATAAGATGGGGTTTTGCTCTAATTGCTCAAAAGTCCACACACTGAGCAATGACTTACTTACGCTTACTGCCACTCTGTCGGAGCAAGTTTCTAAATATTGTTTTGTATGGTATTTAATTTTACGACTGGTCATTTTGTGTATGCGTGTAGGTCTTTTTTTTGGCTGTCACTTTGCAAACCACAGAAACTGCCATAAACTAGGCAAATCTGGAAGGGTGTGCTCGGCTTTAAGGACTACATACAGCACCACATACAAGCAACGCTGGATAGGACGGCTTAAACGTCATTCACTGAGAGTCAGAGTTTTAGTGGCATTTTTGTTGGCAACATTGTTGCTATTGTGAATGCTATTGTGAATGATAGATAATCAAAACTAACAGCTGTTTTTCGATTTGAAATAAAATCATTCATTTATTTTCTTCAATGAACTAATTTTAGAAAAATAACGAGCATTGCTTCTTCCAGTTGATTCAACATGTTTATATACAAATTTTGATCTAGCAAAGTGTGAAAGTGAATAAATGTTTTCAATAAGATAACTCGAAGTAAACCGCTCACGTCCCGTCAGTGATTACATACCCTTCCGGAAATGAAGTATTATGTGTTAATCTATGTCGGAAACCGATTTAGCCGCTACAAAGCGTCGATTATATTAGGTGTAGCAAAAAGCAATCCATTATTTTTGCAATACACGGCTTAAGTGATCTTTATCTCGTATTTTATAATATAAGTGCGACGGGATTACGCTGAAGAGCGCTAGAAAAATGATGTTTCATACCAAAAAAAAAAAAAGGATTATGATTAAGCGATTAAATTCAGTTGTAAAATCTACAACACAATATTTAAAACATAATAAACATTTATCTCATTAAAAGTTTTTTAAAATCTTAAAGTAAATCCGAGAGCAAGAGAACGTGGGAATATGTATGAACTGCGAGGCAATAGTTGTGCCCGGGGACAAATTACATATTTATACTCGTATATACGTGGCCCTGCTAGTGCATTTACGACATGAAGTAAAAACTCCTTATATACTAAATCCATTGGTCGTTCGGAGGGGCTCAAAATAAAATGTAGGTCCTTCCATTTTACAAAAAAAAAAACACATGCTTCTATACCACCAAATGGAAAAGAGGAACGCGGTTCGCTTTAGCGGTTACAAAGTGCCAATTATATGTAATCATACCTTCGTACTCCAATTCAGTCGAACTGAACAATAACAATAATTTTTATAAGAGGCTCTTCAAAAATTTCGTAGATTTAATATATTTACAAACATTTTATTAATTTATTTTGAAATAAGAGACAAACAAAAAAATAATAACAATAATAATAATTACAGTCACTATAAATTAAATGAAAACACTGTGCAAATTATTTGCCAAAATATTGCATTCCATTGCCGTGTCTGCGTGTCCATGCATTTGCCGGTAGTGAATGAGAATTACTGTGCGTGTAGACTGTGTGAAATCACACGCATATATACATACATACATATGTGTATACTGTATGTGATGTGAGCGCAGACAATTTACTTTGTAATAATCAAAGAATCTTGTACATACTAGCAAAATATCATACATAGTATCCTCGTACATAAATGTATAGATATATAAAATAAAATATATAAGTATGTATGCATACATACGCTTACTTAAATACACAGCAATGAAAAGCCGGAGTTTCTAATTTAACTGACACTTCTGTTGGTAGTGTTTGACATTTTTGCATAGACAAACAAAAAAAAAAAAAAGCGTTGCATATTTTTAGGCGATTGCGCATGTAATATATATCACTTGGAATTGATTTGCGATTTCTGCTATTGTTACAGTATTTGTACTTTAACGATTTTCAACGACTGTATATATAAATACATATGTATATATA